TCTCTCTCTCTCTCTCTCTCTCTCTCTGTATTTTTTCTTTCATATTTTCTGTATGTTTGTTTCCTGTTCTTCTGTCGCTCTATATTTTGTTTTCCCTTTTTTCTTTTAAAAAACAAAACTATTTTTTGTATATTACCTGATTTCTGTTCTTGTGTCAAGCTAGATATTTTTCAGACAGTAACTTCCACTAGATATACATGTAGTTACATTTCATAGTTATTGAGAAAAGGACCAGAGGTTGAGTACAACTATTTTTATTTTATAATAATTTATCATTTCTAGTCCTCATGTAGTAGACTTAGGTGGCGGGTTTTCACAGCAAAAAGTAAGGAACTATTTAATTTGGTCGGCCTACATAATTATGGAAGCAATTAACTAATAACTAAGGAACCCCCCCCCCAAAAAAAAACAACAACAACAAAAACAACAGCAACAACAACAAAAAACCAACAACACACAAACAAAATATTATAAAACAAACGTTAGGCGTCCTTCCATTATATTGAACAAGTAGAGAAATTCCTTTCAATAATTCAAAGCTCATATTAATAAACAACGGACAAGGAATGTTGGGTCCATACTAGTGCAAGGGCATTCACGGAACTTTAATTTTCCAAGGAGCAGTCTACATCAACTTCATACGTGGAAAAAAAAAGAGAAGAAGAATTTATCTTGTTTTCTCTGTAACGAGGTATTTCACGAATTATTGATGTATACTTATGCACTTATATATTTGCCATAATTAGCAATGCTTAGTTACATTACAACTGCTCTATGCGGGTGGTTGGAGGGAGTCACTGGTAGGTCCTATTTCTTTACTCTCCATCTGTTGGTTCTGTCTGTCTTACGTTTTCATAGCACTAAATGATCATTATAGTGTGAATGTGCTTCTCTTTACTCAAACGAACAAACAAACAACTGCTCTATTGCTCTGTTCACAAAATTGCCGCCTTATAGGTAAACTCTCTGTCTGATACCCCAATCTCTCAGACATAATGCAACCTCAGAATTACAAAGTTCTATCTGACATTTTTGACCGTTATGAGTTTTTAAGACCATGAGATCAGAAACTAAATGCTCCATTTGCTCTATCAAAATCGTAGGATATTTCGGAGTCTTTATCAAGATATCTAAAGTTTAGTTTAGTTTTAGTAAGAGTTTTATGGCACTTGCAACACAATAAGGTCATACAAGTGTCGATGAGTAGAGGTGTTACAAGAAGAGTAACAAACATTAAAAAAAAGAAGCAGGAGAGATCAGGACAATAGATGTTTGATAGGAAAAAAGGAGCAAACCATACCAGAGCACCCGCCAACCACCCACGATATTTAAAGAAATTAAACGCATTCAAAAAAGCTTGAAATTTTGTGAAACTCACTCAATATTATGCGTCAAATGTCTTTCAAAACTAGATATTGAGCAGATAAAACTTTGTACCTTTAAGGTAAAGATAAGTAAACTCTGTGTTTGATAACCCAACCTCTCAGACATAGGTCTACAGTAATAGTCCACAACAGAGGGTGGGGGGAGGGCAGTTTGCAATCTCATTACAGTGCTTTGGTGCTCTGGGGCTTCGGTAAAAGAGATCGGGGAGTTAGGGGGGAGAGGGAGGGGGGTGGAGGGGAGGCGGGGAGAGCGACAGATTAGCGATTAGCGACAGTAAGTAACGGTGACAGCGGTCAGCTAACAGGCTTACTGACCAGCGCGCCGGAAGAACGTCAACAAACAGGGGCGGCCACTCGGTCGCTACTCTGAGAGCAGCAGCTGTACAGGCACAACAGTTAACATTGTCGAAGATGGTTACCTATTGTCGAGAAGAACTGTAGCCGTCTTATAAAATGGTCGTCTCATAAAGTGTCATTGTAATATATATATTTTTTAACGCAAGGGAAAAATGAGAAGTGGTCGTTTTTCGTTTGTTTTAGTAGAGGTTTT